CTTTCTTTCTCGAAGCTCAAAAGTTATCAGTTGCTATAAATTACATTGAGGATATTATTGCAAAACACAATTATGGCTCAATAATACTCTCACTGTATTCTCAGTGTAAAGACTACACTGATTCTGGAATACCGAATTAGAAAAACAAAGTTTTAAAGTTAAGACAAGATGTCTCATTCATAGCTTTGAAAAGGCTATATATGTCAACAAAATTTTGAGGGGATCTCATACGTGCAGGCAAGTTCAAGATATAGAAACAATTAATGTTGAGCAATGAGAAAGATAAGTTATGCTTAATACAATAATGCATAGCAGCAAACTAATTATGAAGGCTATTTACAATATCTGCTTGTTGGGAAAGTATCCTTTTCATTTTTTAAGCCTCAAATTATTTCTTTAAATCTACAGGTGTTAAATACGCTGCTGGCAAATATTATCCTGTTGGCCAAGACAGGAATACATTACCTATTAAATGCCTTGTACATGGGTCTGCATTTCAAACTATTGAACGGTTAGATCTTAGGTAAGACAGACTCACAAGAACCTATAAGAGGAGGAAAAAACTGAGAGCGCGAAAGAGAGCGAGTGCAGCAACAACAAAAGGGTTTATCATGAGACTGGAGTATTCTAGGGTGTTTCCAGGCACACATCTTTTCTTTTCTGCTGCTTTTTAAGCTTGTCAAGGTAAGCTATCAGCAATAAAACCAAGAATTACTTCACATATTTCCTTGAATGCAAAGGCAAGAAACTTGTGGAAAATACTAACATTTTAGAATGGATGCAAACTTCCAAAATCTTAAAAAGTTTTGCAGAATGTACTTAGATTTCCTGAAAACGGCAGCTATTAATGCTACCACTTGGCATTTATACAGAGCGTTTTGTTTTTAAAGCCCTCTATGTGCATACCTAAATTAACCCTAATAATATTTCTGTGAAGCGCTGTAACTATCTGATAAAAAAACTGAAGCATGAAGGTTGGCCATCTCACTTCTGCTGCTGCTTCACACCCAGGACAATTAATTTACATAAAAAAATCCCAGTAAATAAAAATCAAGAATTCCTTGCACCCACTACCACAGTCAAACAACTGAGGTAGAATATGCGCTTTCTCCTCCCCCATGAAACAGGCAATAAACATATAAATACAGTAATTTAAATGAGAGAACCACAGCTCTGTCCAGACTATGCTTTCAAAATGAATCTGTAATTCTCCATCGTCACAGCAAGCACTAACTATGGCTCGTGCCCACATACAACAAGGTTCAAACTGAGGAACCAAGTTTCTTGTCAGAGGTTTGGCTTTTACACAATGGTCTTTTAGTGAATGGTTTATCCCATTTTTAATTTGCTGTGTTGACAGAGAACCTAATCCTATTTAACAGGTTCAACCAGGCCTCTACCCTCTAGCTTCCCTTAGGGTAGAAAATTCAGAGGGCATTCAAATTCACCAGAGCACAAGCTGGTAATGCCACCCTTTGTCACTGTATGCCCTACTGAGCCTCTTTTACCTCCTCTGTCACAGATGCCATGGCTGGATTCCAACCTAAAAAGGGCCAGGCAGGAGCAGAAGAGAAAACTGATGTAGAGTTGGCAATAGGAACGAATAAGGTGTTCAATAAAATGCCCTGCTTCTTCAATCACTACACCAGTCCCCCCCTGGTTCTATATAACACAAAGCATAAGTTTAAAAATAAATGAGGAGTTTGAGTGAATATGCAGACACTGTTACATACATCCCTGAAGCCTGAAGGGTGCAGAGCCAGGATGAACTCTTGGTAGAAACTGGGAATGGCTAAGGAAGCAGAGAATGAAATAAGTGATGGATCTGGTTCCCTTGACTTCTCTTTGGAGAAAAACATCAGGGAGGAAGATTTACTATTCCTAGTTATGAAATTCATAAACTTCCTATTCCTTAAACATAATGAAAATCACCCATGTGCTTTTGAACACTCAGATGTACACAAATTGTAGGGAGTCCAGCAGAAAGCAACAAAAGTGGTTAGAAGTCTAGTAAACATGACCTACAAGGAAAAGTAGGAAAAACTTGGGTTATTTAGTCTAAAAAAGGAAATGGGGGGGGGGGGAGGCACATTTGATAACAGTCTTCAAATATGTGAAGGGCACATATATGGAGGATAAACTAATAGACTGTGGCTGCAGAATAGTAACAGTAACAGCCTTAAATTTCAACAAGGGAAATTTAGGTTGGATATTAGGAAGAATTCTCTCATTATGAGGGTGGTTAAACACTGGAAGAGATTAGCTAGAGAGATAACGGAATCTCCATCCTTGGAAAATTTTAAATGCAGATTAGATAAACACGAGAATGAGATGGTTTAGATCAGGGATGTCATGGAGCCAGAAGAGTGGCATAATGCTCCAGCTTGAATGGGACCCATACTATGTGCAGCACTGATCCCAAACTGGCTGCAATGAGTACTGCATGCTGTGCAATTCACTTGGGGCAGCCACTGCATGCAGTGTGGCTGCCACTCTGGCTGGAGTGTGCCACATGCATTGTGCATTCTGGCCGCTCCAGGACCTGTGCCACATGGGTCCTAGACCAGCTGGAGTAGCTGCCAGATCTATTATTCTGGGAAAAGGGAATGGGGAAAATGAAGGTCTGCGAGTCTGATCTGACACCATGACACAGGCACGTGACGTGCCCCGCATGGGTCTGATGAGATCCCAGGGGTAGCATGGGGGCTGGATAGTAGGGCTCTGCAGGCTGGATCCGGCCTGTATGGTTGATGCCCCTGGTTTAAATAGAGATTATTCTGCCTTGAACAGGGGGCTAGATCTGATAATTTCCCGAGATCCCTGCCAGCTTTATTTTTCAATGATTCTATGAAGATAATGGTCACTGTGGTTTTTTAGTTAGAGGGAGACGGAACAGGAAAAAAATCCAATGGCAAATAGGGGGAACAGGAGAAGTTGGTAAATATTTACCCAAAGAAATATTATGGAAAGTTTAATTTTTCTCTCAAACGTTTTTTACTGAAAATCTGAAGACTAAATTCAGTTATTTAAAGTGTAAATTAGAAGTTCAGGGCAAATATCCATGCAATCCCAATTATGGTGTTGCCAAGAAAGCCTCCACATTATGATCAACCTATTTTGTTAAAAATAAGATTTAGCTCCCATCATAAACATTTATGAAATTCCTTTCACAAGATCATCCCAAGGAGGTTTAAAAACAAATTAGCATACAAGTACAACAACAAGGGCAAAAACATGTCATAAAACTATCAAAAACACAGCAAATATAGACAGTTAAGCTTATTAACAGTTAAAGATTGCAAATTAATGTGCATAAATTCATAGTATAACATTACATAGGATTTAATATATACGATCCTGCTACATTGACATGTAACAGATAAAATACAAGAAAGCTGACAACTGTTTTCCTCTACATTCGCATGCTGTCCCCATTTATTTCTTGTGCAGAATGCACACGTGATTGGAATGTTTCATACCATCCTTCCAAGCCTAATTAGCAAAGATACGAGGTGAAATATCAAAGAAGGTATTTTAGTGGGTTTCAGTTTTTCAAATGTTTTTTCTTACAAGAGTATTTTATTTACTTGGAATCTAGATCCTCCTTCTCCTCTGTTTTTTTTCCTACTATTTTACATGTGTGCCCTACTTTTTGCCAGACAATTACTGGTCTGCCTATTCTACTCCCTCAAATACTTAGTAACTTACCTTTATATTTTACCAATTGAAAAGAACAATGTGCAGAATTATGCTTTAGAAATATTACAAGTTTAGTAACCTAGGTACACTGTAGAAAAGGCCAATGTCATGCATTTAGATTTGAATCAAATCTTAATTAAAACCGTACCTGTCATTCACATACTGATAATTTAACACAATGCTAATATGCTAGTATTTCTAGCATGTATCGTTCCTTTTTTGTCTGAATGTGTCACTGGCATAAAAGCGCTCTCCTTCCATTCATCAAAATACAAAATGAAGCCCTCTGCACTCCTGCTTATCCACAACACTGCTCTGATAAGACTACTGTCTGGCATACCGCACACACCCAATTAAAACACATGCCTTGGTATGGGAAAGCAGAAAAAAAGAAGGAAAACAGCACATGGGGCAGTGAGCCTAGCTCACCTGGAAAACCATACACCTTCCTTGGTTACAGAAAGATGCATACCAATTGATTACTGGGGACAAAAACAACCAGGGACAAGAATAAAGGTCATAGATTACTAAGGAGGATTCCAAGGGGTAACACCACACAGAGAACATACAGGAAGAGGCAAGTCCAATACTCAGCATCACTCACTCCCTCTATTCAGCCCCAAAGCTAAAAGATCTAACCCTAACAGCTGCTGCTGAATTGGCTTTTGCTCAGCCAAAAAAACTGCAGCCAATTCAGTAGTGGCTGTTCAAGGGTCAAGCCTTTAGCTTTAGAGCTGCAAGGAGAGGGAAGTGACACTCATAACCAGACCCTGTCTCTCCTGCATGGGCCTGGGAAGGAAGCAGGGCCCTGGCAGCCATTCCACCATTTCCATGCTTCCATTGAAATCAGCTCTCTCAGCTAACACACACACACACACACACACACACCAGTTCTGGATGGCTAATTTTTGGGCAGAAGGTAAGCACAGTATGCAAGTAAACACAGTATCTGCACATCTGACTTTCTCTATATCTTGTGCTATCCACTACTTTAGGACAGGGATCTAAGCAAGACAATAATCAGTCATCTTCTTACAATAAAGATACTACAAGTGGAACTAAACATAGTACCACTGACTATGAAAGACTGGAGAATTGAGTCAGGATCTTAATTTTGCATTCAGTCAAGGGGACAAAAATTTGAATGCTGTCCTGATGTACAACAAACATTTACTACTTAACAGTTTGTGATGTGAGGCCAATTAAGCAAACGTTGCATTTTTGGAGCAATGTAATAACAGAAGCTGCAAGTTTACAGAGCAACACGTTTTCTGTTGTATGCAAGTGAAACTCTTTGGTACCTTATTTACTTCCATGATTTCCCTTCTCTCTTCACTAGCAAAACGAAGCTGGCTGGCAGCCCCATGATCATCATGCTTGGATCCATCTTCTTCAATATATGGAATAAGTTGCTGTGAAAGCAAACAAATTGTTATATATACACAAAACAAACGCTCTTGTTGCACACTGCAAGCAGGAGGTCATTAGGAGGCAGCACTGTTTTTTTAACAAGTGCAAACTGCCCTAAACAGAGGAGATGGAGACATGGTTTATATGCAAGTCCCGCTCTACATGTTACAGGTACTGCGTAATTAAACGAAACCAGCTACAAGCCATAAAAAAAATCCAACTAGCTATAAAGCTGGACTTTGAAAATGTGTACTGATTATAGCTGGCTGCTATCAAGTTTTAATTTGCATAGGTAGCAGGGTCTGCTCTGCGGCTGGACTCTCAGCCACCGGGGTGCACCATACTGAGCTGGAGCCGAGTCCTGCAACTGAGGACCCTGGCAGAGCTGCACAATTGCCGGGATCCAGAGTCCCACAGCTTCACTCTGGGTTCCAGCAGCACCCCATAGCTGTTGAGATCCACAGTCCCGCAGCTTGGATGCTGGGTCCTGGCATCATGACTCCCAGTGTGGGAACTCAGCTGGTTTCTGACAGCTGTGGGGTGTGGCTGTGATGTCCCAGGCCCAGGGGTGTGTGGAGCCCCAAAAGGCTGGGAGATCACAACAGCTGCATCTGGGGATGTGTGGGGTGCCCAGCAGTTGAAGAGCCTCCCAGGCACGGGAGCTCGCTTTTAGCCAGTACAGGGGAAGCCCAGAATCAAGCTCCCCCTGTACTGGCAAAAAGGTTCTATGGGATCTAAAGCACACACTCACAATCACACCTCCTGCCATATATGTGTGGCATGGCAGGAGGTGCGATCATGTGGATCATGTGTTAGATCCCATTGCACCTTTACTTGTAAGTATAGAGGGGCCTGGAAAGGCCTGCACAATGGTTGCATACAATTGTCCTGCTCACCAGGGAAAGATTATACTTTGAACGAATACAATCTCCCACTGAGCAACACCTGGGCCAATGCACTTGCATGATCTTCAACATGGCCTGTAAAGGACAAAGTCCAACCATTATTTTTAAGTCCATGCCAACCACCTTTTTATTTTTGAACTTCGTATATTGTGAATGCACCTAAAAGAATCTTGACAAAAAAAGACGTCAAATAAGACTTTTGCTTTAAAGACTTTTAGAAATCATACAAAAATTAGGGTTTGAAGGGATCTCAGGAGGTCATCTAGTCCAACCTATTGCTCAAAGCAGGCCCAGCCCCAACTAGATCATCCCAGCCAAAGCTTTGTCTAGCTGGGTCTTGAAAACCTGCAAGGATGGAGATTCTACCACCTCTCTGGGTAGTTGTGGTAGTGCTCAGCTCACGTATCACATAATTCATCATTTCCTGCAAAATTACCATAGCGAATACAATTGGTCTGAAGCCAAAAATCACTGATGAAGCAGACCTGAATGAATTTTAATATCAGTACCATTCCTTTAGGGAAAAAACCCTCCAAAAACCCCCACAGGATACTATTTTTCTTCTATGCAGTGAAAAGTACTACTGTACAAGTTAAGAACATTAGCCCGTTAGATTTTTTAATAATAGCTTATAGTTAATGGGATCTGCATACATAGACTGCTGACAGATGTGAATAAAAACAAACAAACAAACAAACCCCCCCCAAACCAGCGCTTTACCAGAAGAGAAAGTATGTTATTTCGACCCAGCTCCCCTGTGTCTGTATAGACTGTGTAATTAAGTGGGGATTTCTGGCACTTTTATCTAAACTGGTTAATCAACTATTAGATAAAAGCGCCAAAAAGCCTCACTGAAGCACGCAATCTGTAAAGACACTGGATGAGCCAGGTCAAATTAATGCAATGCCTAGGTATATGCTGTGTTTGGTGCAGGGCTGCACCGAGCTTAAAGAGCTGTGTTTTGTTTTTTTTCATGTCTGGAAGCAGCCATTGTCTATTACTTGTTCTTTATCCTTCCATGCTGGGAAAAAATGAGATTTTGGAATGCTATAAATTTCAACACAGTAACCAAGCCCTCAAAACTTGAAGCTTCCAGCAAAATTACCTTCTTTCAAATGTGAAGGCAGTGTAACTAAACTGAAGAATATTAATTAATGGAAATATGGAAAGAAAGGAAAAGGATTAGGGAATATGTTCTCAATCAAATTTATGCTCATGTGTGGCTCTCGAAACTCAACCATTTAGGTTAAAAGAATGCGGCAAAAAAACAACCAAACAAAACATCTCAGCTGTCACTGCCGCAGTCCAATATTTCTGTTATACTTCAAATGGCACAAGCAGTTACCTCGTATCCACCCCATTTATAAACCTAACATGCTAAGAGTGAAAATTTTAGTAATGCTGCAGAATGGGTCTCTGCTCAAGGATTTTTTTAAGCAAACACAAGGCTCATCTTTAAGTGTAAGAGTAAAACCTACTGCCCTCTTCAGTTTCCCCAATATAAAAACAAAACTGAAAAAAAATGCAACACATTATTTGACAGCAGCTCTAGGAACAAAATGGCTCTGGGTAGGGACTTTAAAACTTGGCATGTAAACGTCCTAATTTCAGAAGCATCACCACGTTGAATGCTCTCAGAAAACTGATTTTAGGTACCGACATACAATTGTACTGTCTTCGAAAGTGGAGGAACAATTATTGTTCAGGACTACCTAGTAGGGAAGTGAAAGGTTAAACAATTAATCATTTAACCGATAAGTGTAGTGATAGCCGGTTGGCTTATTGGTTATCCTTTAGCTTGGGGAGGGCATGGCTGGGCAAGGAAGTGGGGAAGTGAAGCAGTATGGAACCTCAACAGCAGTCAGAAAGCAGTAGAGCAGGCAGAATGGAGGAGAGAGGAGGAGGGGGTGGGGACTAGTAACCATAACCTAAGATGGGTTTTCAACTTTTTCTAACAAGTGTACCCCTTCTGTCTCAAAGTTTCAGCTCATGTACCCCTTTATATTAAATT